CACGGGCCTCGCTCTCCTGTGATCATGGCACACACACACACGGGCCTCGCTCTGCTGTGATCATGGCACACACACACACACGGGCCTCGCTCTCTCTCCTGTGATCATGGCACACACAACACACACACATCATGGCACACACACTCGCTCTCCTGTGATCATGGCACACACACACACACACACGGGCCTCGCTCTCCTGTGATCATGGCACACACACACACGGGCCTCGCTCTCCTGTGATCATGGCACACACACACACACACGGGCCTCGCTCTCCTGTGATCATGGCACACACACACACATGGGCCTCGCTCTCTGTGATCATGGCACACACACACACGGGCCTCGCTCTCCTGTGATCATGGCACACACACACATGGGCCTCGCTCTCCTGTGATCATGGCACACACACACGGGCCTCGCTCTCCTGTGATCATGGCACACACACACACACACATGGGCCTCGCTCTCCTGTGATCATGGCACACACACACACACACACACACACACGGGCCTCGCTCTCCTGTGATCATGGCACACACACACACACACGGGCCTCGCTCTCCTGTGATCATGGCACACACACACACACACGGGCCTCGCTCTCTCTGTGATCATGGCACACACACACATGGGCCTCGCTCTCCTGTGATCATGGCACACACACACACACGGGCCTCGCTCTCCTGTGATCATGGCACACACACACACACACGGGGCCTCGCTCTCCTGTGATCATGGCACACACACACACACACCCTCGCTCTCCTGTGATCATGGCACACACACACACACACATGGGCCTCGCTCTCCTGTGATCATGGCACACACACACACACACGGGCCTCGCTCTCCTGTGATCATGGCACACACACACACACACGGGCCTCGCTCTCCTGTGATCATGGCACACACACACACGGGCCTCGCTCTCCTGTGATCATGGCACACACACACACATGGGCCTCGCTCTCTGTGATCATGGCACACACACACACACACATGGGCCTCGCTCTCCTGTGATCATGGCACACACACACGGGGCCTCGCTCTCCTGTGATCATGGCACACACACACACGGGCCTCGCTCTCCTGTGATCATGGCACACACACACACACGGGCCTCGCTCTCCTGTGATCATGGCACACACACACACACATGGGCCTCGCTCTCCTGTGATCATGGCACACACACACACGGGCCTCGCTCTCCTGTGATCATGGCACACACACACACATGGGCCTCGCTCTCCTGTGATCATGGCACACACACACACACGGGCCTCGCTCTCCTGTGATCATGGCACACACACACACACACACATGGGCCTCGCTCTCCTGTGATCATGGCACACACACACACACACGGCCTCGCTCTCATCATGGCACACACACACACGGGCCTCGCTCTCCTGTGATCATGGCACACACACACACATGGGCCTCGCTCTCCTGTGATCATGGCACACACACACCTCGCTCTCCTGTGATCATGGCACACACACACACATGGGCCTCGCTCTCCTGTGATCATGGCACACACACACACACACGGGCCTCGCTCTCCTGTGATCATGGCACACACACACACACACACACGGGCCTCGCTCTCCTGTGATCATGGCACACACACACACACACGGGCCTCGCTCTCCTGTGATCATGGCACACACACACACACACACGGGCCTCGCTCTCCTGTGATCATGGCACACACACACACATGGGCCTCGCTCTCCTGATCATGGCACACACACACAGGGCCTCGCTCTCTGTGATCATGGCACACACACACACACACATGGGCCTCGCTCTCCTGTGATCATGGCACACACACACACATCATGGCACACACACACACACACACGGGCCTCGCTCTCCTGTGATCATGGCACACACACACACATGGGCCTCGCTCTCCTGTGATCATGGCACACACACACACACGGGCCTCGCTCTCCTGTGATCATGGCACACACACACACACATGGGCCTCGCTCTCCTGTGATCATGGCACACACACACATGGGCCTCGCTCTCCTGTGATCATGGCACACACACACACATGGGCCTCGCTCTCCTGTGATCATGGCACACACACACACATGGGCCTCGCTCTCCTGTGATCATGGCACACACACACACACGGGCCTCGCTCTCCTGTGATCATGGCACACACACACACACATGGGCCTCGCTCTCCTGTGATCATGGCACACACACACACGGGCCTCGCTCTCCTGTGATCATGGCACACACACACACACACATGGGCCTCGCTCTCCTGTGATCATGGCACACACACACACACACATGGGCCTCGCTCTCCTGTGATCATGGCACACACACACACATGGGCCTCGCTCTCCTGTGATCATGGCACACACACACACACACGGGCCTCGCTCTCCTGTGATCATGGCACACACACACACACATGGGCCTCGCTCTCCTGTGATCATGGCACACACACACACATGGGCCTCGCTCTCCTGTGATCATGGCACACACACACACATGGGCCTCGCTCTCCTGTGATCATGGCACACACACACACACATGGGCCTCGCTCTCCTGTGATCATGGCACACACACACACACACATGGGCCTCGCTCTCCTGTGATCATGGCACACACACACACACGGGCCTCGCTCTCCTGTGATCATGGCGCACACACACACACATGGCCCTCGCTCTCCTGTGATCATGGCACACACACACACACATGGGCCTCGCTCTCTCCTGTGATCATGGCGCACACACACACACATGGGCCTCGCTCTCCTGTGATCATGGCACACACACACACACACGGGCCTCGCTCTGCTGTGATCATGGCACACACACACACATGGGCCTCGCTCTGCTGTGATCATGGCACACACACACATGGGCCTCGCTCCTGTGATCATGGCACACACACATGGGCCTCGCTCTCCTGTGATCATGGCACACACACGTGGGCCTCGCTCTCCTGTGATCATGGCACACACCTCGCTCTGCTGTGATCATGGCACACACACACATGGGCCTCGCTCTCCTGTGATCATGGCACACACACGTGGGCCTCGCTCTCCTGTGATCATGACACACACACGGGCCTCGCTCTCCTGTGATCATGGCACACACACACACACATGGGCCTCGCTCTGCTGTGATCATGGCACACACACACACATGGGCCTCGCTCTGCTGTGTACTGACGACAGGTTTGTGAAAATGAAGTAGAGCCGCTAGCACGTCACACAGCACAGCCCCCCGCCCGCAACTCTGAGGTAACTTTTCGCCCCGCCCCCTAATAAAAAAAACTCCCGTTCGGCTGCCCCATGACGTCACGCGTCTCTTCCCATCTCAGCCCTTCAAGCCGCCCTCTTCACGTGATCTTTCCTTTTGAAACCTGGGCGGGGCGCGCCGACTCTGCGCATGCGCCCGGTCAGTGTTTGCAGGGCGCAGGCGCGGCTGGGCGGGGCCGGCACCGGCTCATTAGAGTGACTCGGAAGCGGGCCCCTCCCTGGCTGTGGCGGGCGCCCGGGATTCAGGCTCCTCCCCCCTCCTCTTACTCCGAGGACCTCAGTCCGAGCACCGGAAGCCATTGACTGGGGATATCCGGCCGGATTGAGAGCACAGGGGAGCGGAGGAGGCGGCCTGCACAGCTCTGGGGGGAGGCTTCTCATGTGGCTGCTGAGCCGGGACACCCTGCTGACTGCTTCTCATACGGGACACTGACTGTGCTCCATACATTCAGGAGCCGGAATATCATCTGCCCGGCCACCGGAGCCCCATATCATTTCACCTGAGGGGCCCCCTGAGCCCTGATCACCACCACAGCTCACTGGAGGAGCAGCTCTAGGGCTCCTGGACCTTCTGGCCTCATTAGAGGGGCCCCTAAGTGCCACCAGACCTGGTGAAGCATCGGTACTGTACAACCTGAGCCTTGGGGCTTCACAGAACTTATCTGAGGGCCACCCTGAGTCCTTGGACCCTCCTGGAAGAGCAGCCTGAGTCATTGGAACCTCCTGGAGGGCCACCCCGAGTTCTAGGACCTTCTTGGAGGACCACCCTGAGTCCTTGAACCCTCCTGAAACAGCACTCGAGTTCTTGGACCTTCCTGAAAGAGCACCTGAGTCCTTGGATCCTAGTAGAGGGGCACCTTAACTTCTTGGACCAACCTGAGTCCTTGATCCATCCCGAAGGACCACCTGGATTCCTAAGACCTTCCCGGGGGGCACCCTGATCTTCAGGACTCATACACAGGGAAATCTTGGTTATCCTTATCCTGGTGGACTGTCCGCAATCCTGAGGATCTCCAAACCTCACATACAGAACTCTTTAATAGTGCTCAGTTCCTGAACTCCAAGGACTGTTGCTTCCTCCTTGCACCCCATATTGAACTCCAAGGACTGTTGCTTCCTCCTTGCACCCCATATCTGAACTCCAAGGACTGTTGCTTCCTCCTCGCACCCCATATCTGAACTCCAAGGACTGTTGCTTCCTCCTCGCACCCCATATCTGAACATCAAGGACTGTTGCTTCCATATCTAAATGTCAAGGGCTGTTGCTTCCTTACTTGCCCCCATATCTGAACTCCAAGGACTGTTGCCACCCTTTACCCCCAGAGTCTGGAGGTTTCCTACCTACCATCTCTAAGGTGCAACTTATTGTGGACTTGCAGTCAGCACCCAAGCCTTTTACATCACAGGGGCATCTCCAACCCCAGGGCCCAGCACAAGCCTGATATTGCCTCTTTGGCAGACTGCGGGACGTTGGGTCTATAGCAAACTACCTGATACAAGACATTGGGATCCTTCCACCATCTGCACAGATCACCACAAGGTCAGAACGTTGGACTAATACTTGATACACCTGTAGAGGGACTGTACAGACTCGTGACAAAGGCCAAGCAGTGTTTTACCCCGTATCAGAACACTGTCCAGAAGTTGTGACAACAGATACAACCCAGTTCTTCATTTTTTTCCAAGCTGTGTTTAATGCTCCACCATGGGCAAGGTGCTATCCAAGATTTTCGGCAACAAGGAGATGCGGATCCTGATGCTTGGGTTGGATGCGGCCGGTAAGACCACCATCCTGTACAAGCTGAAGTTGGGCCAGTCGGTCACCACCATCCCCACCGTCGGCTTCAACGTGGAGACCGTGACCTACAAAAACGTCAAATTCAACGTGTGGGATGTGGGGGGCCAGGACAAAATCCGGCCTTTATGGCGGCACTATTACACGGGCACACAGGGTCTTATCTTTGTCGTGGATTGTGCCGACCGGGATCGCATCGACGAGGCTAGGCAGGAACTTCATCGTATTATCAACGACAGGGAAATGAGGGACGCCATCATCCTTATATTTGCCAATAAACAAGACCTTCCTGATGCCATGAAACCCCATGAAATTCAGGAAAAACTGGGCCTAACCCGAATCAGGGATAGGAATTGGTATGTTCAGCCTTCCTGTGCGACCAGCGGGGATGGGCTTTATGAAGGACTCACGTGGCTAACCTCCAACTACAAATCCTAATGACTGTTTAGAAGATTTAAACACAGTTTTACGATGTTGCTTCTTCCGAAGAGGATACGTTGGAAGACGAGTAACGTCGGCGTATGCTGATCTAACTGATCACCCTGTTAAATTACAAAGAAGTATGGGCTGGAATATGTTATATAAATATATATATACATATTTTATTTTTTTTTTTTTGTTGTTTTTCTTGTTCTGCGTTTTAGGATTCTGACCTCAGTTTCCCGTACAAACTTCAAAACTGAGCTTGAAGAAGTAGGAACTTCCTTCTCTATGAGCTGTAACGTAATGGTTTAGTTTGCGGGATAGAAGCTTTTACATTTTTTTTTTTCCTTCCGCTTTCTTTTCTGTTTTTGTTGTAATTTCTGCATTCATACAGGGTATGTTGCTAGGTCTCTTCCAGCTAGTAAACTTTACAACTTATTCCTTAACAATCACACTGCAGTTTGTCTTTTATACCTAGGCTGTTTTTAATAAGAGGTCTGCTAGCTAGCCTATAACAAATTACTTGGAAAATTGTTTTTCCCTTTTTTCATCCTTCTTTTTTTTTTTTCTTTTTTTTTTTTTTTTTAAGATAAATATATATATACATCTATATTTAAAGCTTACATGATTACTAGACTTTTTAAATTGGTTGCTAACAAATTGTGCAAAAAATAAATATTTAGCCGTAGATCTGCCATGATTGGAAGCAGATGTGGACGATCCTGAATCTCACTTAATGTATGCATGAGTAAGCTGAATGCAAACCGATCCTTCTAATCAATTGTTAGCGAGAGATGACAGGAAAGCCATGAGTGACATTGAGAACGTACAGAGAGCAGACACTGTCACATTTCATAAGTATCTGTTCTGTTCCAGGGGAAAAAAAAAACAAAAATTTACTTTTGTACATAGAGGAAGGTTCCCTTGACATGTAGCAATACTTAAATTTATGCAAAAGTTTTGCCTTCTTGAAAACCAGATTGTGTAAAGCACAACTTTGTAATTCAGTGCAAATTGCAAGGCTTTATTAGAAGCTTGGTGATTGGCCTGTATGATATCTGTGTTAAAAGGTACATTGCTCCAAAGCGTCTTAAACTATATGCATTTATTAATAAAATACCTACATTATTTCTGTAAATGTATTGTAAAGTACGCTTATTTCTAAGGCCAGTTTGTATGGCAGAAGCAGCACAATTGTGGGGGGATAATAATGAAGTCTTATATGTGGATTGTTTTCTAACATAAATGTGAACTTTTCTCCCATACCTGTTTACATTTTGTAATAACAAAGAGGTTTTGCAGTCTAATTAGGGTACTCGTGAGGTCTGGTAGATTTAGGCCTACTAGTCTCATGTCTCCTGGTGTATGCTGTCTTTTTAATGCAGATCTGAAGACTTTAGCTTTGTATAACTTTTCTTGCCTGTATACCTCGGTGTAGTATTCAGATCTTACGTTTCCTTAGTGCAGTGCGCTTCTTAGCCCCTTTGCGCCAACTACACATATATGCGCATCAGTCTTTGCTGGGAGCACGGCACGCTCCCAGCACAGAGATCGGGTTCTCACTGGGAGCCCCGGGTTCCGTACGAACGATCGGGACCTGGAACTCCCAGTTCCGGGTCACCTGATTGCTGTGATGGCCTTTGATTTGCCTATCAGTGGTCAGGTAATGTGACGCCCGCCCCTGTCTTTCTCTTTTTGTCAATGGAGGGGAATGATACATTATCTCTGCTTGCAGAGAAACAACCGTGTGTAAAAAAAAAAATAAATATCAAGCCTAGATCAAGGCTTGATCTAGGTTGGTGTAAGGGTCAAAGGTCAGGGTCAGTATATTTTGGGCAGGATTAAAAAAAAAAATGTTTTTAAATTATCAGTGTCCGTTTTCCTAAAACACAGTATCAGTGTGTTTTAGAGAAACATACTATGGGTACATACAAAAACATACACACGTGTGGTATTGCTGCGATCGTCAGGAGTAGAATTTTTTATTTTGGGTTGTTCTTTGGTGGTAGGTTATGTTGGTAACAAATACACAGCTAAATGTACATTTTTTTTTGTTTTTTTACTATTTTGGGCTAGTTTTCCTTTGATTATAAACAAATATAATCAGATGTCCATTACCATTTACCATCAAATGAAAGCCCAATTTTTGTCCTGAAAAAACAAGGTATAATCCACCTGGATGCACAAAGTAGTTGTGGTGATCAGTACGGTTTTACTAACACGTTAAAGTTGCAAAATTGTACTTGGGCATTTGTTTAACCTTTTAGGTGCGCAAAGGGGTTAAAGTAGAATTTCAGCTTACACCTAGAATTGTCCATAGATAGATCAAATCTTGTTCAGTTCAGTAGGGGCCTTCTGGGATTCGATCCATCTACGGGCAAGCTGGTTGCACTGAAGTCTACCAGCCTGTTGGGGTTTTTTTTTCATGCAATCAGTGTCAGCAGCTATGACTGCTAGCAGTGATCATTGTGTTTTTTGCTGGTGGGGAAGGCTCCCTGTTGGCAGATCACAATTCTGCAGGAGGGATTCCCCCATCAACACTAACTGTGTTACTGAGAGAATCTAGCAGTTTTCTTCCCTTCTACCCTTGGTAGATGGAAAGAGTATTGGAAAATCTATGGCATGGGTGTCAAACTGGCGACCCTCCAGCTGTTGCCAAACTACAAGTCCCATGAGGCATTGCAAGATTGACAGTTACAAGTGTGACTTCCAAAGGCAGAGGCGTGATGGGACTTGTAGTTTCGCAACAGCTGGAGGGCCTCCAGTTTGACACCCCTGATCTATGGCTTGCCTAATTACCCTTAAAATTGCCCCCTTCTCCCCCCTACCACCTAGGTTAACTAACCTGTGTGAGAAAGATGTATATACTTGTCTATTTTAGGGCTTCTCCAATCTGGGCATGTGATCTCTCTTGTCTCCAGCAGTGAGGAGAGAGGGCTCTGACAACAGCCAGTAAAGCTTGGAGCGGTAACGTCACCCATAGACTTCAATGGCCCATTCATTGTCAACACTCCTTCCTCTCCCCTGCAGCCATGCTGGGTGAAACTGGTGAGATCACATGACTGGACCAGAGTGGCCTGAAAATCCACTATATTGCCAAAAGTATTGGGACACCTGCCTTTTACACGCACATGAACTTAATGGCCTCCCAGTCTTAGTCCGTAGGGTTCAATATTGAGTTGGCCCCACCCTCTGCAGCTATAACAGCTTAAACTCTTCTGGGAAGGCCGTCCACAAGGTTTAGGAGGGTGTCTATGGGAAGGTTGGACCATTCTTCCAGAAGCACATTTGTCAGGTCAGGCACTGATGTCGGGGGAGGAGGCCTGGCTCACAGTCTCCGCTCTAATTCATCCCAAAGGTGTTCTATGGGGTTGAGGTCAGGACTCTGTGCAGGACAGTCAAGTTCCTCCACCCCAAACTGGCTCCTCCATGTCTTTATGGACCTTGCTTTGTGCACTGGTGAGCAGTCATGTTGGAACAGGAAGGGACCATCCCCAAACTCTTCCCACAAAGTTGGGAGCATGAAATTGTCCAAAATGTCTTGGTATGCTGACACCTTAAGAGTTCCCTTCACTGGAACTAGAGGGCCAAGCCCAACCCCTGAAAAACAACCCCACACCATAATCCTCCCTCCACCAAACTTTACACTTGGCACAATGCAACCGCCAAACACAGAAACATTCATCGGATTGCCAGACAGAAGCATGATTGGTCACTCCAGAGAACACGTCTCCCCTGCTCTAGAGTCCAGTGGCAGTGTGCTTTGCCCCACAACATCCGACGCTTTGCATTGCACTTGGTGATGTAAGGCTTGGATGCAGCTGCTCGGCCATGGAAACCCATTCCATGAAGCTCTCTACGCACTGTTGTGCTAATCTGAAGGCCACACCAAGTTTGGAGGTCTTTAGCTATTGACTCTGCAGACAGTTGGTGACTTCTGCGCACTGTGCGCTTCAGCATGCGCTGACCCCGCCCTGTCATGTGACGTGTCCTACCACTTGGTGGCTGAGTGGCTGTTGTTCCCAGTTGCTTCCACTTTGTTATAATCCCACTAACAGTTTAGCGTGGAATATTTAGTAGCCAGGAAATGTCACGGATGGACTTATTGCACAGGTGGCCACCTATCACGGGACCACGCTTGGAGTCACTGAGCTCCTGAGAGCGACCCATTCTTTCACCAATGTTTGTAGAAGCAGTCTGCATGCCTAGGGGCTTGATTGTATACACCTGTGTCCATGGAGGGGATTGGAACACCTGAATCACATGATTTGGAGGGCGGGGCCAATACTTTTGGCAATATAGTGTAGGTATGTATATTTCTTACATCTGTCTTAGGAGGGGAGGGTTTTTTTAGAGGCAGTTTAAGCAGACTATCATCCCTGGAATGGTTTTCCTCTCTTCTGCTCAAACTTGAATCCCCCCCTTACACATGTGCAGACAATTCTTTTATGTTGAATGTTTTATTCTCTGTGCTGCCCACCACTTTCTGAATGCTTGTCTAGGTAAAGATCATGTAGATCAACCACCTGCTGCTTCTGAGATTTTCGAGTCGCACATCCCAGGAGGCATTGTTTCAGCAGGATCATGCAGTTTTTGACCTCATGTGCTGGCAGTCTTGCCCCAGGCCTTTGGGACCTGGCAGAGCTTTACAGCAGCGGACATGACTCAAACCTCTGCCAGGTCCCAAAGACCTAACGGAGGTTTTCAGTGTGTCTGCACATGTGCGGGTGTCCCACAATGCGTAGACACGTGGAAACGCTCTGTCAGGTCCTACAGACTTCATAGAGACTGGCATGTCTATGCGTGCAGAGGATGAAAACCAACCAGGAGGAGGAGTGTTACGATGGCAGCACAGAGACTATTCTGAAGTCCGTGAACTAACAAGTATGAGGTTATCCATTTTATTATGCAGGAACAAGTATTAGATGGCATTTTATTTTACATGGGTAGGGTGAAGTCCATCTTTTATTATCCTGTCTGATAAATGATCTTAAAGTTTTGGGCAGATGATGGTG